GATTCGTTTATACAAGCTTTGACGATAGACTACATGTTGTTTCTCTCTGTTCAACTTCGGTAGGAACAACGTGGTTTTTGTTATTTGGTACAGTTGTTTGTTTGTGATTCTGTAGCGCCAGAGAAGGATGATCTTTGCTAACACTTTCAGGTTTCAATCGCTCAATGCCTTTTTTCATCATAGTGCTTAGAAAGGAACTGTTTATCTCTGTCATATATATATATATATATATATATATATATGTGTGTGTGTGTGTGTGTGTGTGTGTGTGTGTGTGTGTGTGTGTGTGTGTGTGTGTGTGTGTGTGTGGGTTCCTATAATAATAATAATAATAATAATAATGGACTATTCCATACTTAATAAAAACTGCGCCTCAGGAGTAGGCAGGTGGTCACTAGTTCAAGCGGAGTCAGTAGTTCAAGTCGAGTCAAGAGTCGAGTCAGAGGCAGTCCGAAACAGAGTCGCGTTTCAGACAATTACTGCAAGACATTGGAATAGTGATACTGGTCGAGACTACATTGTTCTCTCTACTAAACCTGATTGTTCATACTAACACTTCTACTTCTCTGTATATATTCCTGTTTGTAATATATCTGTGTTATACCATACCTGTGTTCGAGTTCTTCTTTATTGGTTCTCTACCTTGGACTATCACCGTGGTACAAGGAACCAGACCATAACAATATATATATATATATATATATATATATATATATATATATATATATATATATATTGTGTATATTTAGGCAGCAATTTTTCATTAATGCATGTTTCATTAAATAATATAGACAAGTTTTTTGTATTTATTTTAAGTAAGTTCCTTTCATATTGTCTGATAAGCTTAATCACATTATCATTGAAATACGAAATACTAGATTTAGTTTCGTATATGATTAACTTGGCAAAAAAAATTAGGTTAATCATATACTACACTAAATCTAGTATATCCAACTTAACTATTCGCAATGATTCTTCCCCCACTCCCCGTTAGCGATTTGGTAAAAACCAACATAGTTTACAATGTCAAGTGCCCTTTGGGAGATTGTATCTCCAATGGATTAAATAATATTTATGTTGGTCATACCACAAACTCGCTTTCACGGCGCTTGACTCTACATTTAAATGATAACTCTAACATTTTTAGGCATTTAAAACAACATACCTGGCCGCGTACTCAATTCCGGAAAATCCTCGTTGAAAACACAACTATACTATAAACAACTATACTTAAACATGAAAACAATAAACAAAAATTAAAAATTCTTGAAGCTATATAAATAAAACAGTTGAAACCTAACCTGAACAAAATAAACTATGAAATCTCCGCAAATATTCTTAAATGCCTATAATTTATAACAGAAGCCGTTGGTATAAACCATACTTAATACTTCTCATTTTCACTCTCGCGTGACTATGTGGGACGTCACGAGCTGCTACGCGATTTTCGCTTCCGCGTCTCGTATACACGTGTTTGTCGTTGCTTTGAAATTTTTCAGGCAGCAAGGGCGCACTATCATTGTTGTTTCGTCCATGTGTTGTTTGATAGATTGAAATTGGGATCTTTGATAATGGCTTATGTAAGCCGAAAGCTTAGATTGGATTTAAACATGTATCAATATGGTGTTTTCCTTTCGTTTTTCAATGATATGGTGATTAAGCTTATCAGACAATATGAAAGGAACTTACTTAAAATAAATAGACAAAACTTGTCTATATTATTTAATGAAACACGCATTAATATATATATATATATATATATATATATATATATATATATATATATATAGCGATATTCAGTTTAGATATTCCTGAACGGGTTTGATTCCTCCATCACATCCATATGAAAGGCTCGATCTGAAATGGCTATTTAAGAACATGATTCGTTTTTGCAGATTGATGTTTTGGTTTTGTTACAAATGTCTTTGTTTGTTTGTTTTTTTCCCTTTTATTTTTTATTTATTTTTATTTTTTTTTGCAATGTTGGACCAAACTTCTTTCGGATCAGCCTATTACTTGTTCAATTACTTCTTCTCTATTACTTAATTCGTCATAGCTGATCCACACGCCGAGCTATTTGAAGTATTTAGTATTTACTAAATCGACATCTATAAATATCGAATTAGTAAATGTAAAAAAAATACGAGAAATGTAGAATGTTGGATTTAGAATGTAAGAAAATACGAGAAAATAATTAAAATATATAGAATATGTGTTATTTTCTTTTCTTTTGTGGGGAGAAACTGTAGAAACTTTATAGAATATTTAAAGTTGTTATTGTATGAATTCTTTTAATATAATTTGTGGTTTTTACATAATGCTATAATGGCTTTAAAAATGGACATTTTAAAAAAGTATGGATATAATATATGCACATATATTGATATATTGTTTGGGCACCCCGAGGTGGTGTAATGGTTAGCAAGCTTGTCTCGCTAGAACAATTACGATTGAGTAGTGAGTTTGCTCCTCACTGAGTGCCCCATACGTTTGGCCTTATGCCACATCTGAGCTACATTTGGAAAATCATTATATTAATATATTGTTTTGTGTATTAAAAATAGCTTCGAGCGAATGAATCCTTCATCAAATCTTATAGACTGGCGCTACGGAATCACATACAAAATTTTACCAAATTGTAAAAAACCAATCGCTTGAAGAGTTCCACCTGCAGAAATGGATAACACATGTAATGGGGAAATAAGGATATAAAAAAGGTGTTAACTTTCCACACTACCTTAAGCTAAAAGGTTCGAAATGAAACTTCCTTGAAAAGTAGAAAGAGCAATCACAGTCAGCGTGAGAAGTCCATTTAATTGTAAAAAAAAAAATTTTAAAGATTTTATAAATTTTAGCTATAACGTTAAATGTTCGAGTCAACGAATGAAGAAAGTTTCCTGTATCGGAACGTTTAATCTTTCACAATTACCACATATTAATCAACTATATACGCTTTAAAATGTCCGTTTTTAAAGCCATAAGAATATAAATCTTTGTTTTTTTTTTCGTTGGAGTTAGCGTAGATCGGCTTATATGCTCAAAACGAGAATGTACGCTTCCTATGCTTAGCAAATATAGTCGCCCTAAAAAGCTAAGATCAAAAAATTGCCAAGCCAATATTTTCCAGCTTTGAATGGCCTGCTTTCTAAATCAGTTCTGAAAAACATCCTTTCTCTCACCTTGGAATACATAACCACCTTAGCCATCATTGTATGTCATTTGTTGGTTTCAAATAAAAAAGATGAAATAGTATAACTTATGGTAAACACATCTGCAATTTAAAATTTCCTCGCTCTAAATCTTGTCGATGCACTGTAAAGTTGACAGTGTGTATATAAGTGTATGTGTATGCAAATAGCAATAAAGACGTATCAAATGTGGAATAAATAAGATACGACATTCCACTACATAAGCTAAAACGATTTAGGAAGAGTGTTAGATTCAAAGACATACTAACTAGTTGTGAATATATTCTTAATGGCTATCAGTGGTGATACAGTCAAATATTCGAGATCATTGTCGAAGCTACAAAAAGGTTTTGTGGATCTACTAATAAAATTTCAATTGAAATAAGAAAAAGATTTTGCAGAAAAAAGAAAGGTTTTGTTAGGTTACATTGGACTGGATATTTTAAAAATACAGGGTGTTTCAAAAAATTTGATATCCTTTGAGATGTAAATATCACGGAAAGTACATGATTAAGGCAAATGAAATTAAAAAGTATTAAATGTTGAAGATCATAAGATTTATTCTTCCAAATCTGAATGAGAAATTCAAAAGCATGTGGATTATGTGAACACACAAAACGCCTTTTCTCTTCTAGTAAATAGCATTTTTATACCTGTAAAGAAAAAGATTAAAGATTAAAGAACATAAAAATACAAATAAGAAAAACACAAAAACATAAAGACATAAAAACATAAAACAAACATTAAACATAAAGATGCTATTAAAATTTGAAGTCATTTGAAGATCTAACAAAGTTATTAGATTGCGAAATGATATCAAATTTTTTGAAACACCCTGTATATCAGACTAAGGAAAATATAAGACTTACAATGAATCTTAATGAATTAATCGATAGATAGATAAGTCCGCTTTAAACTTGACGGGAAAACGTTAGACATAGGATTGGTTTACATTTCAGTCAAAAAGTAGTTATAGATCTGGTTTATACTACAGCACAAAGGTATCCATATCTCCAGTTTATACTTGAGTCAAAAGGCAGACATATGCCCCGCAAGGGGTTGATAAGTCGTAGAAACTGAATCAATATTACGACAGATGACTGATGACGGATCAAAGAGAACAGATATGTTTCAGCGAATATATTAATCATCAAGATTTTCCTCCGAATTCTTGTAGTTATAGTTACGCATAAAAAAGACTTGGGAAAAGATTTAATCCACCACTTCTCCTCCCACAACTATGGGTTAATTAGTAAGTCTTGTATCAGTAAACCATTATTATCTCAAAAACAAAAAAAAAGTTCTTACAATCTAAATATATTTTCTGGCTTTAAATAACCTGCGATAGGTAGATAAACCGTAGAAAACAAATCAGCCAATCAAGCAAATGACTCGGAAGAATATTTTTTTTTTTAATTCTGTCTCTTATATTGATCTCCCACTTAAAGGCATTTTCCTTAAACGTTTTAAATTATGCACAGTCATTACTTTCGAAATAAGAGTTTTGAATCAGTTAGTCCTTCCTTTATTTATTCTGACACTCATTTCGATGAAGCTACAGTATTATTTCAATTGGATATTGAAACTGACTATTGAAAATATTTTCCAGACAATTGGGTTCTAGCATAAACAATGAAGGTTTTACACAAATATCTTTTTTGCTGACTGAATCATCTGTTGGTGTGCTACTGGATGCTTATTGTCAGCAGAGATTCCAATATTAGCGTTGTTCTAATTATCTCCATTTATTTATTTCTGTTGCTTTCTTATTGGCATTTACTTTTCTTCAAATTATTTTTCTTTGCTTTTCAGATGGTTTCTTTATCGTTTATTTTCTTTTTCATTTCTTTTCCAACATTTTATTTTTCACATTCATTAGTCTATTTCTTATTTTTCTTAGCTTTTTACCTTCCATATCACTTTTTTTTTCATCGTTTCCTTCATTTTTTTCTTTCTTTTTTCTTTCAAATAAAAAGGTTAGAAAGGAAACCACTATCAATACTGAAAAGGGCGATAACAGCTACCTGACTTGAGAAACCTGTTTTTTCTGAGGAAATTTGTTTTTAAGAAAAATATTTCATCAATCTCAAGCAGTATTAGTCCTGGCTTCTTGGTCAACCAATGCCGAATGGTTCCTTATAAGGAAACGGCTAATATTGTCATTATCATTTTTTTCAATTGACATATTTTTGTTTGTTTCTCCTCTTTGTGTTTGTTTATCCTTTTTTTGTTTCTTTATTTCTTTTCCTTTCTTCTTTCTTTCTTTCTTTCTTTCTTTCTTTCACTTCCTTCATGTCACTTACTTTTTTCATTCTTTTTTCCATTGTTTTCTTCCTTTCTTTCCCTCACGTTTTATTATTTTTCCTTTCCTTTCTGCTCACCTTTCTTTCTTTCTCTCTTTCTCTCACGTTTTCACTTATTTTTCATTTCCTTTCCGCTTTTCTTTCTTTCTCTTTCTTTCTTTCTTTCTTTTTATCTTTCTTTCTTTCCCTCCTTCACGTTTCCACTTACTTTTCCCTTTCACCGCTCACCTTTCTTTCTTTCTTTCTCTCTTTCTCTCACGTTTTCACTTATTTTTCATTTACTTTCCGCTTTTCTTTCTTTCTCTTTCTTTCTTTCTTTGTTTCTTTCTTACTTTCCCTCCTTCACGTTTCCACTTACTTTTCACTTTCACCGCTCACCTTTCTTTTTTTCTTTCTTTCTTTCTTTCTTTCTTTCTTTCTTTCTTTCTTTCTTTCCCTTGCGTTTTGAATTATTTTTCCATTCTTTTCCTTCATTCCTTTATTTTCCTTCCTTCCTTCCTTCCTTCTTCCTTCCTTTCCTTTCTTTCTTTTATATTTAGATCTTATTTTTTAAACTTCTTCCTTCAAGCTGATAATTCTATCAGTGGTGTCTTCATTTATTGTTTCCCTTCAAATACCTCGGCGTATGGTTCCGGTTATAACAATTTTAAAACAAACGAAAAACAAACTGACCATGGGACAGGCTGCGCTAGAACGAGTTTCGACCAATAATGCAAATTTCTACCAAACAAAAACACTATTTTTTTTTAAAACTAGAAACTGTTCTTAAATATCCTCATCAGATCAAGATTATCACATGGATGTCAAACCCGTTCAGAAATATCTAATCTGTCACCTTTATACAACCGCTTTCTCAGATCAATCGTTAAAATGACTTTGAGCGATTGAGGCTTCTTGGTCTTCAGATAGTTTATCCTCCTTCGAACCTTGTGGAACAACGCTACAGAATCAAAGAAAGAATTATGCCAAATAAGAAAAACCACTTGAGGACTTCCAGTAGCAGCAACATTGGAAATGGATATAAGATGTAACTGTAAATTTTTGACATTCCACACTACTTCAAATAAAAGGTTAGGAAGGAAATACCCATCAATATTGAAAAGAGCGATAAAAGCTACTGAACTTGGAAAACCTATTTGCCTGAAAAAATTGTTTTAAGAGAAATATTTTATAAATTTCAACCGAAAACAGTTCTGAGTGATAGGTCAACAAATGCCAAATGTTTCCTTTTAAGGAAACGGCTAATTTTATCATTACCATTTTTTAAATCCACATTTCTTTCTTTCTTTCTTTCTTTCTTTCTTTCTTTCTTTCTTTCTTCTCTTTTTCTTTGTTTGTTTATTGCTTTCTTAGTTTTCTTCTTTCTTCTCTCTCTGTTTCTTTCTTTCTTTCTATATATTTATATATGATTTTTTAAACGTTCTTCCTCCAAAATGATACTTACTTTCTTTGGCGTTCTTATTAAATTTTCCCTTTCCTCTCAACTCACGTTTCTTTCTTTCTTTCTTTCTTTCTTTCTTTCTTTCTTTCTCATCTGATCTGTTTCTGTCTGTACACATGTCTCATTTTGCTTATCTGTTACTTTTTCTTTCTTTCTTTCTTTCTTTCTTTCTCATCTGATCTGTTTCTGTCTGTACACATGACTCATTTTGCTTATCTGTTACTTTTTCTTTCTTTCTTTCTTTCTTTCTTTCTTTCTTTCTTTCTTTCTTTCTCATCTGATCTGTTTCTGTCTGTACACATATCTCATTTTGCTTATCTGTTACTTTTTCTTTCTTTCTTTCTTTCTTTCTTTCTTTCTTTCTTTCTCATCGGATCAGTTTCTGTCTGTACACATGTCTCATTTTGCTTATCTGTTACTTTTTCTTTCGTTCTTTCTTTCTTTCTTTCTTTCTTTCTTTCTCATCTGATCTGTTTCTGTCTGTACACATGTCTCATTTTGCTTATCTGTTACTTTTTCTTTCTTTCTTTCTTTCTTTCTTTCTTTCTCATCTGATCTGTTTCTGTCT